TCCTGGTAGCTGAAGTAGGTGCTATTGTAGCATTGTAGCTGATGTGACAATAACTGAAATGGCACTTTGGGGGGCTGGAGTATTAGAATAAAGTAGCTGTTTGAGGTGGTAGACTAATTGTCTCTCCAATTCTTAATCAAGGAATTAAAATAATGAAGAAATGGACCTTAATCTCTAAATGAAAAAATACCCCGTATGATCTTTATGAAGAAAAGAACTTTAACAAAGATGATATCAAGAAATTAATCTTAATCCCTGATAATCCGAGAGCAGTGGCAGTTGATGTAAAACCGGAAGTGGAGCATCAATGGTATAGCTATTAGTAGTCTTAATAATATTTGTAGGCCAAGTATCTCAACATTTAATACCATTTACATAGTATTAAATGAGGAGAGCACAGTGTAGATAAAGAGTAGTGTCTAGCTGCAAAAAGCTACCCACAAAATCCAAATCCTAACTTATATGGGAAATACACATCACATATCAAACGAACCTGTAATTGGTGTTGATAATCGAATTGCAGTACTTGGTGGGGTAAATGTGAAAAGTAGTTGGTGGAAAAGAAGTCGTGGTGGTTGCTAAAGTAAGTTATTAATGAGGCTTGAGAAGTGTTTACAGTAGTTCATATAAAATGTATTAGAAATTAGAAATTACACGATCGGCTAGGCTCCACACACAGTGTACCTGTAGGGAAATAAAGCTACTTGTTGATGCAAGGAAACCAACCCTGGATTAGATTAAGGGTCCTGGGAACTACCATACCTTTAGAGGACTTATCCCACTCTCCTCCCATGATTCATTGGAAAGGAACCCTGCAGTGTGTGTGCAGTGTAGTGGGGGGATGGTGCAGTTATTGTGACTCTACACCAGCTGAGATAGTAGTTGTGGCATTATTTGGTTGTGGTTGCTGAAATGGTATTTGCTGGTGGCGTTTATGTGGTTCAATCTGGATTAGCACTTGTTTTGGTTTTACTGACGTAGCATATGTTTGTAGGACAAGTGTGCTTTTGGAAGTCAGATTGGTACACTGGTTGTGGTCCTTTGGTACCTATATGTTTATCAATGAGATGTGGTACTTTAAGTGGTAGCCGCTATTAAGGCTGAAGTGGAAGTGGAAGCTGATTTGGTTCTTGGCTGTGAGATAAAAGTGGTTTTGGTTGATAAAGCAGTATCTGAGTTTGGTACTGAAATCGTTGAAGTAGCTCGAGTACTATCTGTAGCTGATGCTGAAGCAGCAGATACAGGTGAAATTGAATGGGCGTTGGTTGATGAAGTTGTAATTGCTATTTTTGATAAATTCTTTGAAATAGTTGGTTATGTCTTATCAAGAAAGTCATTTTGGTAATCAAAGTTTGTTTCTTTTAATTGCTAAATTGATTACAGTACCAATTATAAGGGCTGTAGTAATACTTAAAAGTTATGTGGAGACAAAAGTCGTACTTGGTGGTATTGAGGCGGTTGTCATACCTGGATTACTACTTTCTTAAAAGTAGTCTTTCTAAAAATAGCCCTGGTATCGGAAGTGCAATAACTCGTTGTGATAGCTAAATTAATATTTATTTGTGGTTGTGCAGTGGGTATGACAGCCATGGTACTTGATGTATTAGGTGAAGTAGTATTCTTAAGTAGATGTCGATAGGATAACTAAAGCAGTTTGTTAGAGGATCTTAAAGTGCCTGGGGCAGAAGTGTTTATGGTAGCAAACGTAGTCCTTGTCTGAGGTGACATATTCGATGGAGTGAGGATTGTTTGAGGAACTGGTCATTGTAATAGCTGAGTGAATGTGTGTCTTTGTATACGTGTGTGTGTGTGTGTGTGTGTGTGTGTGTGTGTGTGTGTGTGTGTGTGTGTGTGTGTGTGTGTGTGTGTGTGTGTGTGTGTGTGTGTGTGTGTGTGTGCACGCATATATATATATATATATATATATATATATATATATATATATATATATATATATATATATATATATTATATATATATATATATATATTATATATATATATATAGATAGAGAGAGAGAGAGAGAGAGAGAGAGGGGGGGGGGGGGGGAGAGAGAGAGAGAGAATGAGAAAGAAAGAGCTCTCTCTCTCTCTCTTCTCTCTCTCTCTCTCCTCCTCCTCCTCCTCCTCCCCCCCCCCTCTCTCTCTCATGTGGATGCCTGAATTGTTCAAGAAATAGTAGTACTTGTATGTGGTACTAAAGAATTACTTGTCTGTATAACTGAGGAAGTTGTCCGAAAAGCTGAAATCACTGGAAGTGCAGAAGTAATACTTCTTTGTGAAGATGAATTGCTTACAGAAGCTGAATTGGCGCTAGCGTGAGGAGCTAAAGTGGTTGTGATACCTGGAGTAGTACCTGTGTGAAGATCTGAAGTCATTCTAGAAACTGAAGTCTTTGTAGCAATACTTGTTTGTGGTACTGGAGTCGTTGTGGTAGCAGACGCAGTACTCGTTTTTGGTATTACTACCGTTGTGGAAGCTGAAGTTGTACTTGTTTGTGGTACTACGGCCATTGTGGTATGTGAAGTAATATTTGTTTGTGGTACTACGGTCATTGTGGTATCTGAAGCAGTACTAGTTTGTGGTACTACAGTCGTTGTGGTATCTGCAGCAGTACTAGTTTGTGGTACTACAATTATAGTGGTATCTGTAGCAGTACTTGTTTGTGGTACTATCGTTGTGGTAACTGAAGCGGTACTTGTTTGTGGTAGTACAATCGTGGTATCTGAAGCAGTACTTGTTTGAGGTACTACAGTCGTGGTATCTGAAGCAGTACTTGTTTGTGGTACTACAGTCGTGGTATCTGAAGCAGTAGTTGTTTGTGGTACTACAGTCGTGGTATCTGAAGCAGTACTTGTTTGAGGTACTATAGTCGTGGTATCTGAAGCAGTGCTTGTTTGTGGTACTGCAGTCGTGGTATCTGAAGCAGTACTTGTTTGTGGTATTACTGTGTGAGTCAATAAGCAGTATTGTGAGTGTGGTACTTAGTCGTGGTATTGAAGCAGTTTGTGTGGTATGCAGATGGTACTCTTCAGTACTGTTTTGTGGTATCGTGGTATCTGAAGCGTTTGAGTGTACTATGTCAACGTGGTATGTCTGTAAGCAGTACTTGTTTGTGTACTACAGTCGTGATATCTGAAAGCAGTACTTGTTTGTGGTAAATAGTCGTGGTATCTGAAGCACTTGTTTGTGGTACTACAGTCGTGGTTCTGAAGTAGTATTGTTTGTGTACTACAGTCGTGGTATCTGAAGCACTGCTTTGTTTGTGGTACTAAAACGTCAGTACTTGTTTGGTACTCGGTCGTGGTATGAAGCAGCATACTTGTTTCTGAGCTGTCGTGGTATTGGTGCAGTAGTTGTTTGTGGTATACTATAGTCGTGTATCTGAAAGCAGTGCTTGTTTGTGGTACTATAGTCGTGGTATCTGAAGCAGTGTTTGAGCTTATAGTGTGTACAGTACCTGTTTGTGGTACTACAGTCATGGTATCTGAAGCAGTACTTGTTTGTGGTACTAGTGGTATCTGAAGCAGTATTTTTTGGTACTGTCGTGGTATCTAAAGCAGTACTGTTTGTGGTACTATAGTCATGGTATCTGAAGCAGTACTTTGTTTGTGGTACTAAGTCGGGTATCTGAAGAAACTTGAAGGTGTTATTGTTATTGTTTTGTTTCTGCTACTACAGTCGTGGTATCTGAAGCAGTACTTGTTTCTGCTACTGCTGTCGTGGTATCTGGTGCAGTAGTTGTTTGTGGTACTACAGTCGTGGTATCTAAAGCAGTGCTTGTTTGTGGTACTATAGTCGTGGTATCTGAAGCAGTACTTGTTTCTGCTACTACAGTCGTGGTATCTGAAGCAGTACTTGTTTGTGTGTACTGCAGTCGTGGTATCTGAAGCAGTGCTTGTTTGTGGTACTACAGTCGTGGTATCTGAAGCAGTGCTTGTTTGTGGTACTATGGTCGTGGTATCTGAAGCAGTACTTGTTTGTGGTACTGCAGTCGTAGTATCTGAAACAGTACTTGTTTCTGCTACTGGCAGTCGTGGTATCGATGCAGTGCTTGTTTTCTGGTACTATAGTCGTGGTATCTGAAGCAGAATTGTTATTGGTCTACAGTCGTGGTATCTGACAGTCAGTGTTTGTGGTATTGTGCTTTATTGTTCGTGGTATTGAAGTCGTGTATCTTGAAGCGTTTTCTTGCTTCTTTCAGGTGCTACTTGTTGTTGGTCTACAGTCGTGGTATGAGAATGTTGTTTGTGGTTCTAAGGCGTGGTATCTGCTTGTTTCTGTACTTGTTCGTGGATCTGAAGCAGTAGGTTTTTGCTACTAAGTCGTGGTATCGTGGTATGCAGTAAACAGCAGTACTTGTTTGAGGTATAGAACGTCGTGGTATCCGAATGCAGTGCTTGTTTGTGGTACTAAAGTCGTGGTAATCTGAAGCAGTACTAGTTTGTGGTACTGAAGTGTGGTATCCGATGCAGTGCTTGTTTGTGGTAACTACAGTCGTGGTATTGAAGCGTATGTTTTGAGGTACTAAGTCGTGTATCTGATGCAGTAGTTTGTTTGTGGTACTACAGTCGTGGGTATCTGAAGCAGTACTTGTTTGTGTACTGAGTGTGGTATTGAAGCAGTACTGTTTGAGTATCAGTCGTGGTATCCGATGCAGATGCTTGCTTTGTGGTACCTAAAGTCGTGGTATCTGAAGCAGTACTAGTTTGTGGTACTACAGTCCGTGGTATCCGATGCAGTGCTGTGTGTTTGTGTGGTATTGATGAGTAGTTTGTTTGTGGTACTACAGTCGTGGTATCTGAAGCAGTAGTGTTTGATGGTAACTACAAGGCGTGGTATTGAACAGTGCTTGTTTGTGGTACTGAAGTCGGTATCTGAAGCGTACTTGTTTTGTGGTACTAGCAGGCAGTGGTATCTGAAGCAGTGCTTGTTTGTGGTGACTACATAGTCATGGTAATCTGAAGCAGTACTTGTTTGGGTACTGCAGTCGTGGGTATTGAAGCAGTGCTTGTTTGTGGTACTTGTATAGTCATGGTATTTAAGCAGTTTGCTTGAAGCAGGTACTGCAGTCGTGGTCTCCTTGAAGCAGTACTTGTTTGTGGTACTGCAGGCGTGGTATCTGAAGCAGTGCTTGTGTTTGTGGTAGCTGCAGTCGTGGTATCTGAAGCAGTCTTGTTTGTGGTACTAGGTCGTGTGGTATCTGAAGCAGTACTTTGCTTGAGGTACTCGCAGGTCGTGTATTGAAGCATAATTGTGTTGTGGTACTACGTCGTGTATTGAAGCAGTACTTGGTCTTGTGGTAGCTCAGAGTCGTGGTATCTGAAGCATATTGTCGTGGGTCTGTTGGTATCAGTCGTGTAAGCAATACTTGTTTGAGGTACTATAAGTGGGTAATCTGAAGCATGTATTTGTTTTGCTACTAGTCGTGGTATCTAAAGCAGTGCTTGTTTGTTGTACTTGTATATGCGTGGTATTTTGAGCAGTATGTTTGTGGTACTGATAGTCGTGGGTGAGTCTGAAGCAGTACTTGTTGTGAGGTACTGAGATTTGCGTCGATGGTATCTGAAGCAGGGTATTATGCTTGTGATATAAAATGTCGTAGTATTGAAGCTAGTACTTGTTTGGTGGTTTTTGCAGTGTGTATTGAGTCAAGTATTGTTTGTGGTACTTGTCGTGTATTGGAAGGGCAGTATTATGCTTGTGATACTACAGTCGTGGTAGATTGAAGCGTGTTGTTGTGGTACTAAGTTCGTGGTATTGAAAAGCAGTACTTTGTCTTGTGGTACTCGGCATCTCGTGGTATCTGAAGCAGTGCTATAGTTTGATGGTACTATAAGTCATGGTATCATAGAGGCAGTATGGATTTGTGCTTGACTGGAAGCAGTGCTTAGTTTGGTGGGTACTATAGTGTGGTATCTTAAAGCAGTATGTTATAGATATGAGGTATGGCGTTGGTGGTATATGAAGGCAAGATGATCTATGTTGGGTTGTGGATCTATATTGCAAGTCGTGGTATTCTGAAGCAAGTAGTATCGATACTATGTGGTACTTGGGAGAGTCGTGGTATCTGAAGCAGTGTTGTATATGTAGGTACTGCAGTCGTGGTATTGAAAGCAGTAAGTGGCTTTGATGGTACTATGCAGTCGTGGTATATCATGACTAGGCAGGTACTTGGTTGAGGTACTACGTCGTGGTTGAACAGTAGCTTGTTTGTGGTACTAGGGCAGTCGTGGTATGGCTGAAGCAGTAGCTGTAAGTATATAGATGTGACTGCAGTCTGTGGTATTGAGAGCAATAATTGTGATTGAGGTAAGAATATGGTCGTGGGTATCTGAAAGCAGTAGACATTGTTTCTGTTAAACAGTGTTGGTAGTCTAAGCAGTGCTTGTTTGGTGGTAACTATAGTCGTGGTATCATGAGCAGTGACTTGTTTGTGGTACTTATGTGAAGCGACGTTATTGTTTGAGGTAGCTGGGAGTCGTGGTATGCTGCAAGCAGTATTTTGTTGTGAATAAACTTACATTTGGATTTGTAGGTTGGGGAGTCGGTGAGTATTTACTGTGTTTGTGTAGAGTTACTGTACGTGTGGTATTTGACAGAGTAGTTGATTGTGGATCTAGATAGATAGAGATATGAAGCAGTCCTGTGGTTTGTGTTTGAAGGTCGTGGGTTTATTGTAGCAGTAATTTTGTGGTGGTTTGCAGATGGTGAGCAGTGAGGGTGCTCGATGATACTTGATTGGTAGTGGTGTAGTGTAAGCAAATCGTGGTAGTCTATCTAGAGATATAGTGTTTTTGTGTAACTATAGGGTGGTGGTAATCTGAAGCAGTACTTGCTTGAGGTGAGGTTGGTATCTAAAGCATTACTTTGTCAGTCGTGGTATTGAAGCAGTAACTTGTTTGTGGAGTAGTGGTATTGAGCAGTACTTGTTTGTGGTACTATAGTCGTGGTATCTGAAGAGTATTGTTTGTGGTCTATAGTCGTGGTATCATGAGCAGTATTGTTTGAGTATTGCAGTCGTGGGTAGCTGAAGCAGAGATTGGTTGTGTATTACAGTGTGGTATTAGAAGAGTAATTGTTTGGTGGACTAACAGTCGTGGTATCTGAAGCGTACTTGTTTGTAGTTATAGTCGTGTATCTGAGCAGTACTTGTTTGAGGTACTGCATCGGGTGCTGAGCAGAAGCTTTGTTTGTGGTTTAGTTGGTATCTGAAGCAGTGCTTGTTTGTGGTACTATAGTCGTGGTATTGAAGCAGTATTGTGTGTGGTACTACAGTCGGTGGTACCGATGCAGTGCTTGTTTGTGGTACTATAGTCGTGGTATGCTGAAGCAGTACTTGTTTCTGCTACTGGCAGTCGTGGTATCTGAAGCAGTTTGTTTGTGGTACAGTGTTTGTGGTTTCGTGACAGTAATTGTTTGAGGTACTGCAGTCGTGGTATCTGATGCAGTACTTGTTTGTAGTACTCAGTCGTGGTATGATGCAGTATTGTTTGTGGTACTGCAGTCGTGGTATCTGAAGCAGTACTTGTTTGTGGTACTACAGTCGTGGTATCTGATGCAGTACTTGTTTGTGGTACTGCAGTCGTGGTATCTGAAGCAGTACTTGTTTGAGGTACTACAGTCGTGGTATCTGAAGCAGTACTTGTTTCTGCTACTACAGTCGTGGTATCTGATGCAGTGCTTGTGTGTGGTACTACAGTCGTGGTATCTGATGCAGTAGTTGTTTGTGGTCGTGGTATCTGAAGCAGTACTTGTTTGTGGTACTGCAGTCGTGGTATCTGAAGCAGTACTTGTTTGTGGTACTACAGTCGTGGTATCTGATGCAGTGCTTGTTTGCGGTACTAAAGTCGTGGTATCTGAAGCAGTACTTGTTTGTGGTACTACAGTCGTGGTATCTGATGCAGTGCTTGTTTGTGGTACTGTCGTGGTACAGTAGTTTTGTGGTAACAGTCGTGGTATCTGAAGCAGTACTGTTTGAGGTACTACAGTCGTGGTATTGATGCAGTAGTTGTTTGTGTACTAGTCGTGGTATCTGATGCAGTACTTTTTGTGGTATTACAGTACTGTTTGGGTACTCAGTGTGTACAGTAGTTGTTTGTGGTACTACAGTCGTGGTATCTGATGCAGTAGTTGTTTGTGGTACTACAGTCGTGGTATCTGAAGCAGTACTTGTTTGTGGTACTACAGTCGTGGTATCTGATGCAGTACTTGTTTGTGGTACTGCAGTCGTGGTATCTGAAGCAGTGCTTGTTTGTGGTACTATAGTCGTGGTATCTGAAGCAGTACTTGTTTGTGGTACTGCAGTCGTGGTATCTGAAGCAGTGCTTGTTTGTGGTACTGTAGTCGTGGTATCTGAAGCAGTGCTTGTTTGTGGTACTATAGTCGTGGTATCTGAAGCAGTACTTGTTTGAGGTACTGCAGTCGTGGTATCTGAAGCAGTACTTGTTTGTGGTACTATAGTCGTGGTATCTGAAGCAGTACTTGTTTGTGGTACTGCAGTCGTGGTATCTGAAGCAGTGCTTGTTTGTGGTACTATAGTCGTGGTATCTGAAGCAGTGTTGTTTTGTGTACTATAGTCGTGGTATCTGAAGCAGTACTTGCTTGAGGTACTGCAGTCGTGGTATCTAAAGCAGTAGTTGTTTGTGGTACTACAGTCGTGGTATCTGAAGCAGTGCTTGTTTGTGGTACTATAGTCGTGGTATCTGAAGCAGTACTTGCTTGAGGTACTGCAGTCGTGGTATCTGAAGCAGTACTTGTTTGTGGTACTACAGTCGTGGTATCTGGTGTCGTGGTATCTGAAGCAGTACTTGTTTGAGGTACTGCAGTCGTGGTATCTGAAGCAGTACTTGTTTGTGGTACTGCAGTCGTGGTATCTGAAGCAGTACTTGTTTGTGGTACTAAGTCGTGGTATCTGAAGCAGTACTTGTTTGTGGTACTACAGTCGTGGTATCTGAAGCAGTACTTGTTTGTGGTACTGCAGTCGTGGTATCTGAAGCAGTGCTTGTTTGTGGTACTATAGTCGTGGTATCTGAAGCAGTACTTGTTGAGGTCAGTCGTGGTATCTGAAGCAGTACTTGTTTGTGGTACTACAGTCGTGGTATCTGAAGCGTACTTGTTTGTGGTACTATATCGTGGTATCTGAAGTAGTATTTGTTTGAGGTACTGCAGTCGTGGTATCTGAAGCAGTACTTGTTTGTGGTACTACAGTTGTGGTATCTGAAGCAGTACTTGTTTGTGGTACTACAGTCGTGGTATCTGAAGCAGTACTTGTTTGTGGTACTATAGTCGTGGTATCTGAAGCAGTACTTGTTTGAGGTACTACAGTCGTGGTATTGAAGCAGTAGCTTGTTTGTGGTACTACAGTCGTGGTATGCTGCATTTGTTTTGTTGTTTGTGGTATACGTGTGGTATCTGAAGCAGTGTTGTTTAACTACAGCCGTGGTATCTGAAGCAGTAGTTGTGGTACTTCTGGTTTTATGTGTTGTGGTACTACAGTCGTGGTATCTGAAGCAGTGCTTGTTTCTGCTACTATAGTCGTGGTATCTGAAGCAGTGCTTGTTTGTGGTACTACAGTCGTGGTATCTGAAGCAGTACTTGTTTGAGGTACTGCAGTCGTGGTAGCTGAAGCAGAGCTTGTTTGTGGTACTACAGTCGTGGTATCTGAAGCAGCAGTTGTTTGAGGTACTACAGCCGTGGTATCTGAAGCAGTGCTTGTTTGTGGTACTACAGTCGTGGTATCTGAAGCAGTTGTTTGAGGTACTACAGCGTGGTATCCGATGCAGTGCTTTGTTTGTGGTACTACAGTCGTGTATATTGAAGCAGCAGTTGTTGAGTACTACAGCGTGGTATCTGAAGCAGTGCTTGTTTGTGGTACTGCAGTCGTGGTATCTGAAGCAGTACTTGTTTCTGCTACTACAGTCGTGGTATCTGAAGCAGTAGTTGTTTGAGGTACTACAGCCGTGGTATCTGAAGCAGTGCTTGTTTGTGGTACTATGGTCATGGTATCTGAAGCAGTACTTGTTTGTGGTACTACAGTCGTGGTATCTGATTGTGTTTATTGTACTATAGTCGTGGTATCTGAAGCAGTACTTGTTTGAGGTACTGCAGTCGTGGTATCTGAAGCAGAGCTTGTTTGTGGTACTACAGTCGTGGTATCCGATGCAGTGCTTGTTTGTGGTACTACAGTCGTGGTATCTGAAGCAGTACTTGTTTGTGGTACTGCAGTCGTGGTATCTGAAGCAGAGCTTGTTTGTGGTACTACAGTCGTGGTATCCGATGCAGTGCTTGTTTGTGGTACTACAGTCGTCAGCAGTTGTTTGAGGTACTACAGTCGTGGTATCTGAAGCAGTGCTTGTTTGTGGTACTACAGTCGTGGTATCTGAAGCAGTGCTTGTTTTTGCTACTACAGTCGTGGTATCTGAAGCAGTACTTGTTTCTGCTACTATAGTCGTGGTATCTGAAGCAGTGCTTGTTTGTGGTACTACAGTCGTGGTATCTGAAGCAGTAAGTATGACAGTCGTGAGTAGTGTTGTGGTAATATATCTGAAGCAGTCTAGCGGGTAGTGAAGGCGAGCTTGTTTGTGGTTTAGTGGGTATCTGAAGCAGTGTATGTTTTGCTTTGAGGAGTGAGTGTGGTATTGAAAGCAGTATTGTGCTGCTATTATAGTCGTGGTATCTGAAGCAGCTTGTATTGTGGTACTACAGTCGTGTATCTGAAGCAGTTAGTTTTGTTTAAGCATACAGTGTGGTATCTTGAAGCAGTTTTGTTTGTGGTAATATAGTCGTGGTATCTGAAGCAGTACTGTTTGAGGTTGCAGTCGGTGGTATCTGGAGCGTTTGTGGTACTCCAGTCGTGGTATCCGAGCAGTGCTTTGTTTTGTGGTACTACAGTCGTGGTATCTGAAGCAGTAGTTGTTTGAGGTACTACAGCCGTGGTATCTGAAGCAGTGCTTGTTTGTGGTACTGCAGTCGTGGTATCTGAAGCAGTACTTGTTTCTGGTACTACAGTCGTGGTATCTGTAGTTGTTTGTGGTACTACAGTCGATCTGAAGCAGTAGTTGTTTGAGGTACTACAGCCGTGGTATCTGAAGCAGTGCTTGTTTGTGGTACTACAGTCGTGGTATCTGAAGCAGTACTTGTTTGTGGTACTACAGTCGTGGTATCTGAAGCAGTACTTGTTTGTCGGTATACAGTCGTGGTATCTGAAGCAGTGCTTGTTTGTGGTACTATAGTCGTGGTATCTGAAGCAGTGCTTGTTTGTGGTACTACAGTCGTGGTATCTGAAGCAGTACGTGTTTGAGGTACTGCAGTCGTGGTATCTGAAGCAGTACTTGTTTGTGGTACTATAGTCGTGGTATCTGAAGCAGTACTTGTTTGAGGTACTGCAGTCGTGGTATCTGAAGCAGTACTTGCTTGAGGTACTGCAGTCGTGGTATCTGAAGCAGTGCTTGTTTGTGGTACTATAGTCGTGGTATCTGAAGCAGTACTTGTTTGTGGTACTATAGTCGTGGTATCTGAAGCAGGACTTGTTTGTGGTACTATAGTCGTGGTATCTGAAGCAGGACTTGATTGAGGTACTGTAGTCGTGGTATCTGAAGCAGTACTTGTTTGTGGTACTATAGTCGTGGTATCTGAAGCAGTACTTGTTTGAGGTACTGCAGTCGTGGTATCTGAAGCAGTGCTTGTTGAGGTACTGCCGTGGTACTGCAGTCGTGGTATCTAAAGCAGTACTTGTTTGTGGTACTATAGTCGTGGTATCTGAAGCAGTACTTGTTTGTGGTACTACAGTCGTGGTATCTAAAGTAGTACTTGTTTGTGGTACTACAGTCGTGGTATCTGAAGCAGTACTTGTTTGAGGTACTATAGTCGTGGTATCTGAAGCAGTACTTGTTTGTGGTAATAAGCGTGGTATCTGAAGCAGTACTTGTTTTGCTACTACAGTCGTAATCTGAAGCAGTACTTGTTTGTGGTACTGCAGTCGTGGTATCTGAAGCAGTACTTGTTTCTGCTACTACAGTCGTGGTATCCGAAGCAGTACTTGTTTCTGCTACTACAGTCGTGGTATCCGTACTTGTTTCTCTACTACAGTTGTGGTATTGAAGCAGTTACTTGTTTCTGCTACTAGTCGTGTGGTACTTGACGCAGTACTTGTTTGTGGTAGCTAAGCAGTCGTGGTATCTGAAGCAGTACTTGTTTGTGGTACTACAGTCGTGGTATCTGAAGCAGTACTTGTTTGTGGTACTACAGTTGTGGTATCTGAAGCAGTACTTGTTTGTGGTACTGCAGTCGTGGTATCTGAAGCAGTGCTTGTTTGTGGTACTACAGTCGTGGTATACGATGCAGTACTTGTTTGTGGTCGTGTATCTGAGCAGTAGTTGTTTGTGGTACTACAGTCGTGGTATCTGAAGCAGTACTTGTTTGTGGTACTACAGTCGTGGTATCTGTAGCAGTACTTGTTTGTGGTACTACAGTCGTGGTTCTGAAGCAGTACTTGTTTGTGGTACTACAGTCGTGGTATCTGAAGCAGTACTTGTTTGTGGTACTACAGTCGTGGTATCTGAAGCAGTACTTGTTTGTGGTACTACAGTCGTGGTATCTGAAGCAGTACTTGTTTGTGTACTACAGTCGTTGGTATCTGAAGCAGTACTTGTTTGGTACTACAGTCGTGGTATCTGAAGCAGTACTTGTTTGTGGTACTACAGTCGTGGTATTGAAGCAGTACTTGTTGTGGTACTAAGTCGTGGTATCTGAAGCAGTACTTTGTTTGTGGTACTACAGTCGTGGTATCTGAAGCAGTACTTGTTTGTGGTACTACAGTCGTGGTATCTGAAGCAGTATTGTTTGTGGTACTACAGTTCGTGTATCTGAAAGCAGTACTTGGCTACTGTCGTGGTATCTGAAGCAGTACTTGTTTGTGGTACTACAGTCGTGGTATCTGAAGCAGTACTTGTTTTGTGGTACTGATAGTCGTGGTATCTGAAGCAGTACTTGTTTGTGGTACTAAGTCGTGGTATCATGCTGCTTTGTTTGTGGTACTGCAGTCGTGGTATCTGAAGCAGTACTTGTTTCTGCTACTACAGTCGTGGTATCTGAAGCAGTACTTGTTTGTGGTACTACAGTCTGGTATCTGAAGCAGTACTTGTTTGTGGTACTACAGTCGTGGTATCTGAAGCAGTACTTGTTGTGGGTACTACAGTCGTGGTATCTGAAGCAGTACTTGTTTTGTTACAGTCGTGGTACTCTGAAGCAGTACTTGTTTGTGTACTACAGTCGTGGTATCTGAAGCAGTACAGTCGTGTATCTGAAGCAGTACTTGTTTGTCTACAGTCGTGGTATCTGAAGCAGTACTTGTTTTGTACTAAGTCGTGGTATCTGAAGCAGTACTTGTTTGTGTACTACAGTCGTGTATCTGAAGCAGTACTTGTTTGTGGTACTAAGTCGTGGTATCTGAAGCAGTACGTCGTGGTATCTGAAGCAGTACTTGTTTGTGGTCGTCGTGGTATCTGAAGCAGTACTTGTTTGTGGTACTACAGTCGTGGTATCTGAAGCAGTACTTGTTTGTGGTACTACAGTCGTGGTATCTGAAGCAGTACTTGTTGTACTACGTCGTGGTATCTGAAGCAGTACTTGTGGTCGTGGTATCTGAAGCAGCTACTGTCGTTATCTGAAGCAGTACTTGTTTGAGGTACTTAGTCGTGGTATCTGAAGCCTTGTGGTACTACAGTCGTGTACTCTACTATAGTCGTGGTATCTGAAGCAGTACTTGTTTGAGGTACTATAGTGTATCTGAAGCGGTACTTGTCAGTGGTAATACAGTCGTGGTATCTGCAGCAGTACTTGTTTGTGGTACTACAGTCGTGGTATCTGAAGCAGTACTTGTTTGTGGTGCTATAGTCGTGGTATCTGAAGCGGCACTTGTCAGTGGTAATACAGTCGTGGTATCGGAAGCAGTGCTTGTTTGTGGTACTACAGTCGTGGTATCTGAAGCAGTACTTGTTTGTGGTGCTATAGTCGTGGTATCCGATGCAGTGCTTGTTTGTGGTACTAAAGTCGTGGTATCTGATGTAGTACTTGTTAGTGGTACTATAGTCGTAGTATCTGAAGCAGTACTTGTTTGAGGTACTACAGTTGTGTTATCTGAAGCAGTACTTGTCTGTGGTACCGTGGTATCTGAAGCAGTACTTGTTTGTGGTACTATAGTCGTGGTATCTGAAGCAGTACTTGTTTCTGCTTACTATAGTCGTGGTATCTGAAGCAGTACTTGTTTCTGCTACTATAGTCGTGGTATCTGAAGCAGTACTTGTTTGTGGTACTATAGTCGTGGTATCTGAAGTAGTACTTGTTTCTGCTACTATAGTCGTGGTATCTGAAGCAGTACTTGTTTCTGCTATTATAGTCGTGGTATCTGAAGCAGTACTTGTTTCTGCTATTATAGTCGTGGTATCTGAAGTAGTGCTTGTTTGTGGTAATACAGACGTGGTGCTTGTCGTTGCAATTTGCGTTACAACTGTAGCCGTAGCTGGAGAAGTAGTTGCCTCTGAGGCTGAGGTCGTTATCTGTGGAGCTGAGGTCGTACGTGTGGCTGAAGTAGTTGTTGTCTGCGGAGCTAAAGTCCTTGTGGTATGTGTAGTGCTTATTGGTGTGGCTGACGTTGTAGGAGTAACTGAAATAAAAATTCAGCTGGGAATGATAGGCAGTAGTAGATGTACCAGAGTATATAAGTGATTTTATTTATGTAGTGTTGCATTCCCATCTTTGTGTAACGTGCTTCGGCGAAATTAGCGGGTTTCATGATTCATGTTTGCAATCATCAATATATCGTGATGTGATGGATTTTTCACTAAATTGACATTGGAAAAGTTGTACTTTATGTCAAGTCAGTAAGCAATGTAGTGAAGTATTAGTGGCGCAGACTGCAGTATGTAGGGTAGGCCAAATGCTCAACAATTATTATTATTAAATATTGAATTGTGTGAGTTTATTGTAACTGCAGCTGAATGCATTTGTTGCTACTGAACCATACGTCCTTGGAATTGCAAATAATCCCACTTTAAAATAAGCGAAAAAGTCCTTCAGAGAAAGACTGACCTTGACTTGTCCGAAGTGTTGACAACTGAAAACAACGAGGGAAAAAGTGGGAAAAGATTCAGCACACAAAATATACAAACCTGTTACTGTTGGAGGCTCTGGTGTAGTTGTAGTAGCTTCAGTTGTACTTGTCTGAGGAGCTGAAGTGGTGGTAGTTGCTGAAACAGAAATTGTTTGAGGTTCAGAAGTGGTTGTGGTACCCGCAGTACCGGTTGTTCCAGGTTCTGAAATGGTTGTGATACCTGACCTAGCGGTTGTTTGAGGTTCAGAAGTGGTAGATGAAGCAGTTGTTTCAGGTTCTGAATTGGTAGTGGTAACTGAAGAAGCAGATGTTTCAAGTTCTGAAGTGGTTGTGGTACCTGGAAAAGCAGTTGTTTCAGGTTCTAAAGTGGTTGTTACACCTGAAGTAACGGTTGCTTCAGGTCCTGAAGTGGCTGTGGTAGCTGAAGTAATGGTTGTATCAGGTTCTGATGTGATTGTGCTAACTGAAGTTGTTTCAGGTCTAGAAGTGGTTGTGATAGCTGAAGTAACGGTTGTTTCAGGTCTAGAAGTGGTTGTGGTAGCTGAAGAAGCGGTTGTTTCAGGTCCTGAAGTGGTTGTGGCACCTGAAGTTGTTTCAGGTCCTGAAGTGGTTGTGGTACCTGAAGTAACGGTTGTATCTGGTTCTGAAGTGGTTGTGGTAACTGAAGTTGTTTCAGGTCTTAAAGTGGTTGTGGTAGCTGAAGTAACACTTGTTTCAGGTTCTGAAGTGGTTGTGGTAGCTGAAGAAGCGGTTGTTTCAGGTTCTGAAGTGGTTGTAGTACCTGAAGAAGCGGTTGTTTCAGGTTCTGAAGTGGTTGTGGTAGCTGAAGTAATGGTTGTATCAGGTTCTGATGTGGTTGTGGTAACTGAAGTTGTTTCAGGTCCTGAAGTGGTTGTGATAGCTGAAGTAACGGTTGTTTCAGGTCTAGAAGTGGTTGTGGCAGCTGAAGAAGCGGTTGTTTCAGGTCCTGAAGTGGTGGCACCTGAAGTTGTTTCAGGTCCTGAAGTGGTTGTGGTAGCTGAAGTAACGGTTGTATCTGGCTCTGAAGTGGTTGTGGTAACTGAAGTTGTTTCAGGTCCTAAAGTGGTTGTGATAGCTGAAGTAACACTTGTTTCAGGTTCTGAAGTGGTTGTGGTAGCTGAAGAAGCGGTTGTTTCAGGTTCTGAAGTGGTTGTAGTACCTGAAGAAGCGGTTGTTTCAGGTTCTGAAGTGGTTGTGGTAGCTGAAGTAATGGTTGTAGCAGGTTCTGATGTGGTTGTGGTAACTGAAGTTGTTTCAGGTCCTGAAGTGGTTGTTACAGCTGAAGTAACGGTTGTTTCAGGTCTAGAAGTGGTTGTGGCAGCTGAAGAAGTGGTTGTTTCATGTCCTGAAGTAGTTCTGGTAGCTGAAGTTGTTTCAGGTCCTGAAGTGGTTGTGGTACCTGAAGTAACGGTTGTTTCAGGTTCTGAAGTGGTTGTGGTACCTGAAGCAGTTGTTTCAGGTTCTGAAGTGGTTGTTACACCTAAAGAAGCGGTTGTTTCAGGTTCTGAAGTGGTTGTGGTAGCTGAAGTAATGGTTGTATCAGGTTCTGATGTGGTTGTGGGAACTGAAGTTGTTTCAGGTCCTGAAGTGGTTGTGATAGCTGAAGTAACAGTTGTTTCAGGTCTAGAAGTGGTTGTGGTAGCTGAAGAAGCGGTTGTTTCAGGTCCTGAAGTGGTTGTGGCACCTGAAGTTGTTTCAGGTCCTGAAGTGGTTGTGGTACCTGAAGTAACGGTTGTATCTGGTTCTGAAGTGGTCGTGGTAACTGAAGTTGTTTCAGGTCCTAAAGTGGTTGTGATAGCTGAAGTAACACTTGTTTCAGGTTCTGAAGTGGTGGTAGTTGAAGAAGCGGTTGTTTCAGGTTCTGAAGTGGTTGTAGTACCTGAAGAAGCGGTTGTTTCAGGTTCTGAAGTGGTTGTGGTAGCTGAAGTAATGGTTGTATCAGGTCCTGAAGTGGTTGTGACAGCTGAAGTAACGGTTGTTTCAGGTCTAGAAGTGGTTGTGGCAGCTGAGGAAGCGGTTGTTTCAGGTCCTGATGTGGTTGTGGCACCTGAAGTTGTTTCAGGTCCTGAAGTGGTTGTGGTAGCTGAAGTAACGGTTGTATCTGGCTCTGAAGTGGTTGTGGTAACTGAAATTGTTTCAGATCCTAAAGTGGTTGTGATAGCTGAAGTAACACTTGTTTCAGGTTCTGAAGTGGTTGTGGTAGCTGAAGGAGCGGTTGTTTCAGGTCCTGAAGTGGTTGTAGTACCTGAAGAAGCGGTTGTTTCAGGTTCTGAAGTGGTTGTGGTACCTGAAGAAGCAGTTGTTTCAGGTTCTGAAGTGGTTGTGGTACCTGAAGTAACGGTTGTTTCAGGTTCTGAAGTGGTTTTGGTAACTGAAGAGGTTGTTTCAGGTCCTGAAGTGGTTGTGGTAGCTGAAGTCATGGTTGTTTCAGTTTCTGAAGTGGTTTTGGTAACTGAAGAGGTTGTTTCAGGTTCTGAAGTGGTTGTGGTAGCTGAAGTCATGAATGTTTCAGTTTCTGAAGTGGTTTTGGTAACTGAAGAGGTTGTTTCAGGTTCTGAAGTGGTTGTGGTAGCTGAAGTTGTTTCAGGTTCTGGAGTGGTTGTGGTACCTGAAGAAGCAGTTGTTTCAGGTTCTGAAGTGGTTGTAGTAGCAGAAGTAACGGTTGTGGTACCTGAAAAAGAGGGTTTAGGTTCTAAAGTAGCTGTGGTAGCTGAAATAACGGTTGTTTCAGGTTCTGATGTGGTTGTGGTAGCTGAAGCAGTGGTTGTTTCGGGTGTTGAAGTGATTGTACCTGATGTAACAGTTGTTTGATGTTCTGAAGTGGTTATGGAAACTGGGGTAGTGGTAGTGATAGCTGAAGTTGTACTTGTCTGAGGAACTGAAGTCGTAGCAGCTGAAGTAGTAGTTGCCTCAGGGACTGCAGTTGTGGTTCTTGTAGTAGCATCAGTAGTTGTACCTGTAAAAATAGATACCGGTGTTGAGGTCATTGCTGTAGCTGAAGTCAGAAAAGCTATTGAGTGCTAGTGACTAATGTGATCAGCACAGATGTACTTTACATAAAACCACAATTAGGTATCGAAAGGAACAAATTACAAGATTTGTTTTTATACACTAAAAACTCAATAAAATATCGCGGTTCATGTTGTTCATCTGTTACACTTATTCAAGTATTGGGATGTAATGACTTTGTATTTATTAATTCTAATCACTAGTACTGTATAACATGATAATAATCTATGGCAATGGAGTTATAATGACCTAGTATGAGGCCAAATCCTCAACATTTAATACTACTTCAGTAATATTAAAAGATGAAAGATCAGTGTAAATCCTGGGGCATAAATATGTTTCTTGAATTCCAAAGGACACAAGAAAAGAGTTTATTAAGAAAAATGACTCACCCGAATTGCAAATACTTGAACGATAAATGGATAAATAAAAGATAAATAAAAATGATAACAAAAAAAGGTGGACATAGCAGGTACAAACCTGTTGTTTGTGTTTCTGAGGGAGTTGTGGAAGCTGAGGTTATAAGTGTCTGAGGAGCTGAAGTCGTGGTAGTACCTATAGTGGTTGTAATTGAGGTAATTGAAGTAGTGGTTGTTTCAGGTTCTGAAGTGGTTATGGTAGCTTTAGTAGTCGTTATTTCAGGTTCTGAAGTGGTTGTGGTAGATGAAGCAGTGGTTATTTGGGGTTCTGAAGTGGTTGTAACTGAAGCAGTGGTTGATTGAAGTTCTGAAGCAGTGGTTGTTTGAGATTCTGAAAGAGTTGTAGCTGAAGCAGTAGTTGTTTGAGGTTCTGAAGTAGTGGTTGTTTGAATTTCCGAAGTGGTTGTGGTTGCTGAAGCAGTGGTTGTTAAGGGTTCTGAAGTGGTTGTGGTAGCTGAAGCAGTGGTTGTTAAGGGTTCTGAAGTGGTTGTGGTAGTTGAAGCAGTGGTTGATTGAGGTTCTGAAGTAGTGGTTCCTGAAGCAATTGTCAGAGGTTCTGAAGTGGTTGTGGTAACTGAAGCAGTGGTTGAAAGGGTTGTAGCTGAAACAGTGGTTGTTTGAGTTTCTGAAAGGGTTGTAGCTGAAACGGTGGTTGTTTGAGTTTCTGAAACGGTTGTAGCTGAAACAGTGGTTGTTTGAGTTTCTGAAAGGCTTGTAGCTGAAACAGTGGTTGTTTGAGGTTCTGAAGGGGTTGTGGTTGCTGAAGCAATGGTTGTTTGAGTTTCTGAAGTAATGGTTGCTGAAGCAGTGGTTGTTTGAGGTTCTGAAGTAGTGGTTACTGAAGCAGTGCTTATTAGAGGTTCTGAAGTAGTGGTTGATTGAGGTTCTGAAGTAGTGGTTGCTGAAGCAGTGGTTGATTGAGGTTCTGAATTAGTGGTTGCTGAAACAGTTGTTGTCTGAGGTTCTGAAGTGGTTGTGGTTGCTGAAGCAGTTGTTGTCTGAGGTTCTGAAGTGGTTGTGGTTGCTGAAGCAATGGTTGATTGAGGTTCTGAAGTAGTGGTTGCTGAAGCAGTTGTTGTCTGAGGTTCTGAAGTGGTTGTGGTTGCTGAAGCAGTTGTTGTCTGAGGTTCTGAAGTGGTTGTGGTTGCTGAAGCAATGGTTGATTGAGGTTCTGAAGTAGTGGTTGCTGAAGCAGTTGTTGTCTGAGGTTCTGATGTGGTTGTGGTAGCTGAAGCAGTTGTTGTCTGAGGTTCTGAAGTGGTTGTGGTTGCTGAAGCAATGGTTGATTGAGGTTCTGAAGTAGTGGTTGCTGAAGCAGTTGCTGTCTGAGGTTCTGAAGCTGAAGCAATGGTTGATTGAGGTTCTGAAGTAGTGGTTGCTGAAGCAGTTGTTGTCTGAGGTTCTGAAGTGGTTGTGGTTGCTGAAGCAATGGTTGATTGAGGTTCTGAAGTAGTGGTTGCTGAAGCAGTGGTTGTCTGAGGTTCTGATGTGGTTGTGGTAGCTGAAGCAGTTGTTGTCTGAGGTTCTGAAGTAGTGGCTGCTGAAGCAGTTGTTGTCTGAGGTTCTGAAGTGGTTGTGGTTGCTGAAACAGTGGTTGTTTGAGTTGCTGAAGTAGTGGTTGCTGAAGCAGTGGTTGTCTGAGGTTCTGAAGTAGTGGTTGCTGAAGTAGTTGTTGTCTGAGGTTCTGAAGTGGTTGTGGTTGCTGAAGCAGTGGTTGTCTGCGCTTCTGAAGTAGTGGTTGCTGAATTGCTGAGTTCTGAAGTAGTGGTTGCTGAAGCAGTTGTTGTCTGAGGTTCTGAAGTGGTTGTGGTTGCTGAAGCAGTTGTTGTTTGAGTTTCTGAAGTAGTGGTTGCTGAAGCAGTGGTTGTCTGAGGTTCTGAAGTAGTGGTTGCTGAAGCAGTTGTTGTTTGAGGTTCTGAAGTGGTTGTGATTGCTGAAGCAGTTGTTGTTTGAGTTTCTGAAGTGATTGTGGTTGCTGAAGCAATAGTTGTTTGAGTTTCTGAAGTAGTGGTTGCTGAAGCAGTGGTTGTTGGAGATTCTGAAGTAGTGGTTGCTGAAGCAGTGGTTGTTTGAGGCTCTGAAGCAGTGGTTGTTGGAGATTCTGAAGCAGTGGTTGTTTGAGGCTCTGAAGTAGTGGTTGCTGAAGCAGTTGTTGTTTGAGGTTCTGAAGTGGTTGTGGTTGTTGAAGCAGTGGTTGTTGGAGATTCTGAAGTAGTGGTTGCTGAAGCAGTGGTTGTTGGAGATTCTGAAGTAGTGGTTGCTGAAGCAGTGGTTGCTGGAAATTCTGAAGTAGTGGTTGCTGAAGCAGTTGTTGTCTGAGGTTCTGAAGTGGTTGTGGTTGCTGAAGCAATGGTTGTTTGAGTTTCTGAAGTAATGGTTGCTGAAGCAGTGGTTGTTTTAGGTTCTGAAGTAATGGCTGCTGAAGCAGTGGTTGTTTGAGATTCTGAAGTAGTGGTTACTGAAGCAGTGCTTATTAGAGGTTCTGAAGTAGTGGTTGATTGAGGTTCTGAAGTGGTTGTGGTTGTTGAAGCAGTGGTTGTTGGAGATTCTGAAGTAGTGATTGCTGAGGCAGTGGTTGTTGGAGATTCTGAAGTAGTGGCTGCTGAAGCAGTGGTTGTTTGAGGCTCTGAAGTAGTGGTTGCTGAAGCAGTTGTTGTTTGAGGTTCTGAAGTGGTTGTGGTTGCTGAAGCAATGGTTGTTTGAGTTTCTGAAGTAATGGTTGCTGAAGCAGTGGTTGTTTTAGGTTCTGAAGTAGTGGCTGCTGAAGCAGTGGTTGTTTGAGGTTCTGAAGTGGTTGTGGTTGCTGAAGCAGTGGTTGTTGGAGATTCTGAAGTAGTGGTTGCTGAAGCAGTGGTTGTTGGAGATTCTGAAGTAGTGGTTGCTGAAGCAGTGGTTGTTGGAAATTCTGAAGTAGTGGTTGCTGAAGCAGTTGTTGTCTGAGGTTCTGAAGTGGTTGTGGTTGCTGAAGCAATGGTTGTTTGAGTTTCTGAAGTAATGGTTGCTGAAGCAGTGATTGTTTTAGGTTCTGAAGTAGTGGCTGCTGAAGCAGTGGTTGTTTGAGATTCTGAAGTAGTGATTGCTGAGGCAGTGGTTGTTGGAGATTCTGAAGTAGTGGCTGCTGAAGCAGTGGTGTTTTGAGGTTCTGAAGTGGTTGTGGTTGCTGAAGCAATGGTTGTTTGAGTTTCTGAAGTAATGGTTGCTGAAGCAGTGGTTGTTGGAGATTCTGAAGTAGTGGTTGCTGAAGCAGTGGTTGTTTGAGGCTCTGAAGTAGTGGTTGCTGAAGCAGTGGTTGTTGAGGCTCTGAAGTGTGGTCTGAAGTAGTGGTTGCTGAAGCAGTTGTTGTCTGAGGTTCTGAAGTGTGTGGTTGCTGAAGCAGTTGTCTAGGTCTGAAGTGGTTGTGGTTGCTGAAGCAGTTGTCTGAGGTTCTGAAGTGGTTGTGGTAGCTGAAAAGTAGTTGTTGGTTCTGAAGTGTTGTTCTGAGTTCTGAAGTAGTTTGTGCTAAAGCAGTTGTTTGAGGTTCTGAAGTGGTTGTGTACCTGAAAGCAGTGTTGTTTGAGGTTCTGAAGTAGTGGTTGCTGAAGCAGTGGTTGTTTGAGGCTCTGAAGTAGTGGTTGCTGAAGCAGTGGTTGTTTGAGGCTCTGAAGTAGTGGTTGTTGGAGATTCTGAAGTAGTGGTTGCTGAAGCAGTTGTTGTCTGAGGTTCTGAAGTGGTTGTGGTTGCTGAAGCAGTTGTTGTCTGAGGTTCTGAAGTGGTTGTGGTTGCTGAAGCAGTTGTCTGAGGTTCTGAAGTGGTTGTGGTAGCTGAAACAGTAGTTGTTTGTGTTTCTGAAGTTGTCTGAGGTTCTGAAGTAGTGCTTGCTAAAGCAGTAGTTGTTTGAGGTTCTGAAGGGGTTGTGGTACCTGAAGCACTGGTTGTTTGAGGTTCTGAAGTAGTGGTTGCTGAAGCAGTGGTTGTTTGAGGCTCTGAAGTAGTGGTTGCTGAAGCAGTTGTTGTCTGAAGTTCTGAAGTGGTTGTGGTTGCTGAAGCAGTGGTTGTTTGAGGTTCTGAAGTGGTTGTAACTGCAACAGTGGTTGTGTGAGGTTCTGAAATGGTTGTGATACCTGAAGCAGTGGTTGATTGAGGTTCTGAAGCAGTTGTCTGAAGTTCTGAAGTGGTTGTTTGAGGTTCTGAAGTGGTTGTGGTTGATGAAGCAGTTGTCTGCGGTTCTGGCGTAGTGGTTGCTGAAGCAGTGGTTGATTGAGGTTCTGAAGTAGTGGTTGCTGAAGCAGTGGTTGATTCAGGTTCTGAAGTAGTGGTTGGTGAAGCAGTTGTTTGAGGTTCTGAAGTGGTTGTGGTTGCTGAAGCAGTTGTTTGAGGTTCTGAAGTGGTTGTAGTAACTGAATCAGAGGTTTGAGTTTTTGAAGTAGTTGTGGTAGCTGAAACCGTGGTTGTCTGAATTTCTGAAGTGGTTGTAGTAGCTAAAACAGTGGTTGTCTGAGGTCCTGAAGTGGTTGTTGTAGCTGAAGCAGTGGTTGTTTGAGGTTCTGAAGTTGTTGTGGTTACTGAAGTTGTAGTTTGAGGCTCTGAGGTCGGGATAGTTACTGAAGTAGTTGTCTCAAGGGCTGGAGTTGTGGTTTCCGAAGTAGTATTTGTAATTGTACCTGCAGAGGTAGATGTTATAGGAGTTGAGGTTGTAGCTGTGGCTAAAGTAGTACTTATTTGAGGAACGGAAGTCTTTGCGGAAGCTGAAGTAGTAATAGTTGTCTGTAATGCTGAGATCGTACTTGTAGTTCCGGTAGTTGTCTGTAGAGCTGAGGTAGTTGTAATATGTGTGGTGGTTGTTGGTGTGGCTGACGTTGTAGTAACTGAAATGGCAATTGTAGCTTGGAGTGGCAGTGGTGGCTGTACTGTATTTCATGTTAATAGTCTATGGTAGAGGAGATTTAGTGACATAGCCTGTTATTTGGATGGTAGGCCAAATTCTCAACATTTAATAATACTTGAGTAATATTAAATGATGAGAGAACAAAGTAACTACAAGGAGATGAATATGTTTGTTGTTATAAAGAAAATACCAAATCCTTGAAATGCTTAAAGCACACATTAAAATGTATGAAAAGAGGCAACTTAGTAATAACATGCATTACAAAAATACAAACCTGTAGTTGTCTGAGGTTCTGGAGTGGTTGTAGCTGAAGCAGTGGTTGTTGGAGGTTCTGAAGTACCTGTGGTACCTGAAACAGTTGTTGTTTGAGGTTCTGAAGTGGTTGTAGCTGAAACAGTGGTTGTTTCAGGTTCTGAAGTACCTGTGGTACCTGAAACTGTGGTTGATTGAGAGTCTGAAGTGGTTGTGGTACCTGAAGCCGTAGTTGTTTGAGATTCTGAAGTGGTTGCGGTATCTGAAACAGTAGTTTGAGGTTCTGAAGTGGTTGTCGTAGCTGAAACAGTAGTTTGGAGTCCTGAAGTGGTTTTGGTAGCTGAAGCCGTGGTTGTTTGAGGTTCAGAAGTGGTTGTGATAGCTGAAACAGTAGTTGTTTGAGATTCTGAAGTGGTTGTGGTAGCTGAAGGAGTGGTTGTTTGAGGTTCTGAAGTGGTTGTGGTAGCTGAAGCAGTGGTTGCCTCAGGTTCTGAAGTGGTTGTGGTAGCTGAAGCCGTAGTTGTTTCAGGTTCTGAAGTGATTGTGGTAGCTGAAGCCGTAGTTGTTTCAGGTTCTGAAGTGGTTGTGGTAGCCGAAACAGTAGTTGTTTCAGGTTCTGAAGTGGTTGTGGTAACTGAAACAGTGGTTGTTTGAAGTTCTGAAGTGGTTGTGGTAGCTGAAGCCGTAGTTGTTTCAGGTTCTGAAGTGGTTGTGGTAGCTGAAACAGTAGTTGTTTGAGGTTCTAAAGTGGTTGTAGTAGCTGAAACAGTAGTTGTTTCAGGTTCTGAAGTGGTTGTGGTAGCTGAAACAGTTGTTGTTTCAGGTTCTGAAGTGGTTGTGGTAGCTGAAACAGTGGTTGTTTCAGGTTCTGAAGTGGTTGTGGTAGCTGAAGCCGTGGTTGTTTCAGGTTCTAAAGTGGTTGTGGTAGCTGAAACAGTAGTTGTTTCAGGTTCTGAAGTGGTTGTGGTAGCTGAAACGGTAGTTGTTTCAGGTTCTGAAGTGGTTGTGGTAGCTGAAACAGTTGTTTGAGGTTCTGAAGTGGTTGTGGTAGCTGAAACAGTAGTTGTTTCAGGTTCTGAAGTGGTTGTGGTAGCTGAAACAGTAGTTGTTTCAGGTTCTGAAGTGGTTGTGTGCTGAAACAGTAGTTGTTTCTGAAAGCTGAAACAGTAGGTTCTGAAGTGGTTGTGGTAGCTGAAGGTTTCTGAAAGTGGTTGTAGTAGCTGAAGTAAGGTTCTGAAGTGGTTGTGGTAGCTGAAACAGTAGTTGTTTGAGGTTCTGAAGTGGTTGTGGTAGCTGAAACAGTAGTTGTTTCAGGTTCTGAAGTGGTTGTGGTAGCTGAAACAGTAGTTGTTTCAGGTTCTGAAGTGTTGTGGTAGCTGAAGCAGTGGTTTGTGGTTCTGAAGTGGTTGTGGCTGAGTGTTGTTGGTTCTGAAGTGGTTCTGAAACAGTAGTTGTTTTTTGAAGTGGTTGTGGTAGCTGAAAGCTGAAACAGTTGTTGTTTCAGGTTCTGAAGTGGTTGTGGTAGCTGAAACAGTAGTTGTTTCAGGTTCTGAAGTGGTTGTGGTAGCTGAAACAGTAGTTGTTTCAGGTTCTGAAGTGGTTGTGGTAGCTGAAACAGTAGTTGTTTGAGGTTCTGAAGTGGTTGGGTAGCTGAAACAGTAGTTGTTTCAGGTTCTGAAGTGGTTGTGGTAGCTGAAACAGTAGTTTGAGGTTCTGAAGTGGTTGTGGTAGCTGAAACAGTAGTTGTTTGAGGTTCTGAAGTGGTTGTGGTAGCTGAAACAGTAGTTGTTTGAGGTTCTGAAGTGGTTGTGGTAGCTGAAACAGTAGTTGTTTCAGGTTCTGAAGTGGTTGTGGTAGCTGAAACAGTAGTTGTTTGAGGTTCTGAAGTGGTTGTGGTAGCTGAAACAGTTGTTGTTTCAGGTTCTGAAGTGGTTGTGGTAGCTGAAACAGTAGTTGTTTCAGGTTCTGAAGTGGTTGTGGTAGCTGAAACAGTAGTTGTTTGAAGTTCTGAAGTGGTTGTGGTAGCTGAAACAGTAGTTGTTTGAGGGTTCTGAAGTGGTTGTGGTAGCTGAAACAGTAGTTGTTTTCAGGTTCTGAAGTGGTTGTGGTAGCTGAAACAGTAGTTGTTTCAGGTTCTGAAGTGGTTGTGGTAGCTGAAACAGTGTTGTTTCAGGTTCTGAAGTGGTTGTGGTAGCTGAAACAGTAGTTGTTTCAGGTTCTGAAGTGGTTGTGGTAGCTGAAACAGTAGTTGTTCAGGTTCTGAAGTAGCTTGTTTTCAGGTCTGAAGTGGTTGTGGTAGCTGTAGGAAACGGTAGTTGGTCAGTTCTGAAGTGGTTGTGGTAGCTGAAACAGTAGTTGTTTCAGGTTCTGAGTGGTTGTGGTAGCTGAAGTGGTTGTGGTAAGCAGCTGAAGTTGTTTCAGGTTCTGAAGTGAAGTGGTCTGAAGTGGTAGCTGAACAGTAGTTGTTTCAGGTTCTGAAGTGGTTGTGGTAGCTGAAACAGTAGTTGTTCAGGTTCTGAAGTGGTTGTGGTAGCTGAAACAGTAGTTGTTTTCAGGTTCTGAAGTGGCAGCTGAAGCAGTAGGTTCTGAAGCTGAAGCGTGTTGTTTGAGGTTCTGAAGTGGTTGTGGTAGCTGAAACAGTAGTTGTTTCAGGTTCTGAAGTGGTTGTGGTAGCTGAAGCCGTGGTTGTTTCAGGTTCTGAAGTGGTTGTGGTAGCTGAAACAGTAGTTGTTTCAGGTTCTGAAGTGGTTGTGGTAGCTGAAACAGTAGTTTCAGGGTCTGAAGTGGTTGTGGTAGCTGAAACAGTAGTTGTTTCAGGTTCTGAAGTGGTTGTGGTAGCTGAAACAGTAGTTGTTTCAGGTTCTGAAGTGGTTGTGGTAGCTGAAACAGTAGTTGTTTCAGGTTCTGAAGTGGTTGTGGTAAGCTGAAAGGTTCTGAAGTGGTTGTGGTAGCTGAAACAGTAGTTGTTTGAGGTTCTGAAGTGGTTGTGGTAGCTGAAACAGTAGTTGTTTCAGGTTTCTGAAAGTGGTTGTGGTAGCTGAAACAGTAGTTGTTTCAGGTTCTGAAGTGGTTGTGGTAGCTGAAACAGTAGTTGTTTCAGGTTCTGAAGTGGTTGTGGTAGCTGAAGCAAGGTTCTGAAGTGGTTGTGGTAGCTGAAACAGTGTTGTTTCAGGTTCTGAAGTGGTTGTGGTAGCTGAAACAGTAGTGTTTGAGGTTCTGAAGTGGTTGTGGTAGCTGAAGCAGGTTCTGAAGTGGTTGTGGTAGCTGAAGCCGTGGTTGTTTCAGGTTCTGAAGTGGTTGTGGTAGCTGAAGCCGTAGTTGTTTGAGGTTCTGAAGTGGTTGTGGTAGCTGAAACAGTAGTTGTTTCAGGTTCTGAAGTGGTTGTGGTAGCTGAAACAGTAGTTGTTTCAGGTTCTGAAGTGGTTGTGGTAGCTGAAGCAGTGGTTGCTTGAGGTTCTGAAGTGGTTGTATCTGAAGCAGTTGTCTGAGGTTCTGAAGTAGTGGTTGCTGAAGCAGTGGTTGTTTGAGGTTCTGAAGTGGTTGATTGAGGTTCTGAAGTAGTGGTTGTTTGAGGTTCTGAAGTAGTGATATCTGAAGTCGTTGATTGAGGTTCTGAAGTGGTTGTGGTAGCTGAAGCCGTGGTTGATTGAGGTTCTGAAGTGGTTGTGGTAGCTGAAGCCGTGGTTGATTGAGGTTCTGAAGTGGTTGTCGTAGCTGCAACAGTACTCGTCTGAGGAGTTGAAGTCGTGACAGTTGCTGAAGTAGTAGTTTCAGGAACTGTTGTTGCTGAAATGTTAGATTTAATGTCGCGTTATTTGTTATTCCCCTGTGATCTTGCGAAGATTATATATACTAAAAATGATTTGTATGTCCATTAAATCTCAATACAAGATTTCCCCTAAAATGTTTGACGATCATTAACTTATTGAAAGAATGAAGACTACCAGCAACTTTAAATATCCACTAACATATCTCAACATCATCTGTTTACTACCGTATATCTAGTATACATCCTGTGACAGCCTCATAAGATATGCAATACATCATTCTATGGGGTTATTGATTAGCCCATTGATGAGTCACATGATATTTTCTCAGGGGCACCAACCCACAGAAGAAACGCCCTTTTATTTGACAGTTGGTGTTGCTTATTCTGACTCTAACATGTCGCTGTAAGAGACTAAGGAACTGTCTGGCGTTTTGCCGACGACGCATGAATAACTAACTCCAAACAAAGCTGCGCCTTTTCAAACATAAAAAATAAGAGAGAGAGAGAGAGAGAGAGAGAGAGAGAGAGAGAGAGAGAGAGAGAGAGAGAGAGAGAGAGAGAGAGAGAGAGAGAGAGAGAGAGAGAGAGAGAGAGAGAGATGGTAGCTGTAGTCAAATTAGGGACTGGATTTAAAACTACAGCTTAAACCATGGTACACGCTTTGATCGATTTGGTATGGAACCGATTAACTATGAACCAGAACATTTGGGAAATATCCAAAGGCCATTACATAACCATTAACAAACCTTCCTCAGTTGTCGTTGCACTGATGGTAGATGTAAGAGTCGTTGTGGGCGCTTCTGTCGAAAGGTTAACTGCAACAAACAAATTTTCATCTTGATAGCTAAATACGTAACTCAGGAAGCATTACATTAAATAAGCCGTTAGTAATGATAATTAATTTCTAATTTAAAGGTTTTAATGTGTAGCAAGAATTAAGCACTGTAATACCTACTTAAGAATTACGGTTTAGTAATAAATTGAGCATTGTATTTACAAAAAAAAAAAAAAAAAAAAAAAAAAACAGTTCTGTCACTATGAAATGAAGGAAGCAGACACCATAGGTACACACGACAGAAAGTGAGGAAGAATTACAACAGAAAAGGAAACACCAGGAATTTCCATAAACAATCGAGGATCGACATTACTCATACTGCAATACTGCGCAAAAAACTTACAAGTGCCGATAAATGCTTGCACCGTTGGGACGACGTCGTTGACCAAGTAAGCGTCGACGGCGGCGTCGCTGCTTGTGCTGAGGTACACCATGCACAGATCGAATTCGCAAGCAGCTTTAAGATTGAAAGTCGTCGTTAACAGAGTGAGTGTCGAGTAACAATAGGGATTGTTTTATAACAATCATAATCACATAAAGATAAGGCTACGTTTAGTGCAACTTTTGTAAGTAAAGCATATATCAGCTATGTATGACAATGATTATAATTTCATTGTGATAATCACAGCAGAAAAAAACGAGAACTTTAAAATATTAATGATAATAATTGTAATAGGAATGATGATTAGTAATGGCAATAATAACAATAACAATAACGGTAACGATAATGATAATAATCATAACAATAACAATGATTATTGTAATAACAATAACAATAATGATATTAATGATACTAGAAATAATGATGATGGTGATGCTGATGATAATGATAATATGGAAAATAATGATAGGAATAATAATGATAAGAACGATAATAATGATAATCATCATTATTATCATCACTGCTAAATTAGGATTTTCATTATCGTTATCATTATTATCATCTTAATTTCTATTATGATCCTCACCATATTTTCCCTTATTGATACTATAATCATCATCATTATTACTTTTGTCGTAATTTTTAGAGCCATTATTATCATTTACCTTTTTCATTCTTATTTTTTCATAGTTATAATAGTAATGATAATAATGATAAAATTAAAATGCTAATAATAACAATAATTAGTATCATCTCTCTTATTACTATTATCATTATCATTACTACTATTAGCATCATCATAATCATCGAAATTATCATCATCATCATCATCCTCATCGTAATCATTATATCGATCATCACCATCTACCATCTCTTGTCCTTATTTTTATCATAAAAACAATAATAACTTACCTATCAACACCAGAGCCGCGTGCCCGTCGACAGTATTCCCTAGATATGTAGTACTGTACACCGTGCTAGTACATTTGGTGGTGAACTCGTCTGTCTTGGTGGAGTCCAATGTACATTGTGCACTCTGATGAAAAAGAATGAATGAATGAAATACACATAGATGAACTATTATTTTAGTCGATTTATTTATCTGTTCATTTGTTTCTCTCTCCCAGCATGATATCAACACGTTTGAAACATGTTGATGGAAAAATAGGAAACAATTACGGAAGCCCATGACTTGCCTCGCTCGTTGATCTCTTCTTTCTCCCAGAAGAGCAAGAGGGATTCACAGTTTGATCTTCCGTCTGAAAAAAGGTTTTGCATTAGTTGCAGAAAAAGGTATTTTTGCGCGACTTGCTACGGTGTTGCCTTTGCCAATTCTGATATCTGTCTATCTATGTGCATACAACTCACGTGTATGTGTGTGGTTGGGTGGGTACACATATCTACACACAGATGTATTCATATGCGCGCGCGCGCGCGCGCGCGCGTGTGTGTGTGTGTGTGTGTGTGTGTGTGTGTGTGTGTGTGTGTGTGTGTGTGTGTGTGTGTGTGTGTGTGTGTGTGTGTGTGTGTGTGTGTCCAATTACACACATACACACACACACACACACACACACACACCACACACACAACACACACACACACACACACACACACACACATATATATATATATATATATATATATATATATATATATATATGTATATATATATAAAATATTTATTTATACATGTTTATATATGTATATATATGTGTGTAGATATGTATATATATGGTAGAAAAACCCACAATGCACAAACTAGATTTATTGAAGAAAGTGATAATTACAACAGAAAAAAGAAAGAACGAGAGATTTTAAAATATTAATAACAATAATTGTAAGAGATGGAGTCGAGGGCGATTCCGAAACTGTTGTCTCACTTTCTTTAATAAATCTAGTTTGGGCACTCTGTTTTTTCTACCATAGTATCAACACGGTACCAGTGTTTTTCTATTCATGTATATATATATATATATATATATATATATATATATATATATAATATATATATATATATATATATATAATATATGTATATAAATGTATATATATGTATATATATATATATATATATATATATATATATATAGGTGTGTGTGTGTGTGTACACACACACACACACACACACACACACACACACACACACACACACACACACACACACACACACACACACACACACACACACACACACACACACACAAGATTTTATAAAGTGTCATTGTCCCCAAAATATACAGACTTTCTCACTCTCTCTTCCTCTCAATCCTGTATCGTTCCTCTTTGTCCCCCTCCCACCCCCTCCTCTCCTGTTACTCCAATTCTCCGTCCATCTCTCTCTTTCTCTCTCACCCATTTTATTCCCCCCCCCCCCCTCTCTCTCTCTCTCTCTCTCTCTCACTCTTTCTTTCTTTCTTTCTCTCTCCCTCTTTCTCTCTCTCTCTCTCTCTCTCTCTCTCTCTCTCTCTCTCTCTTTTCTTCTCTCTCCTCTCTCACCCATGCTCATTCTCTCTCTCTCTCTCTCTCACCCATCCTCATTCTCTTCCTTCCTCTCCTTCATAGCTTACCTTCCAAGAATTGGCGAACGATGTCAAATCAGAGACTACTGCTCCCGACCGGTCTGTGTAATCTGAGGAACTATCTTCCGTTCCGCAGAGACCATAGAGACCTGTCACGCTCTCATGCACGTAGACATGCACGACGGTCCTTCGTATCTCAAGCTGCAGACACGTTCATTGGAAAAGGATTAGTATGACCGCTGCGCGTCATGTAAATTGAAGATTTTCGTCCAACTCAGCTGGCACTATAGGTAGCTAGCCCAAGGCGTCCCCAAAAGGAATCAAACCTTGGCCAATAAAAATGATCGTTACAAGCAACGGCTGGGCAACCAGGGAAAAGTCGAAAACAAAATTGAAAATCCCGCGCGTTCCAATAATAAGCAAATACCCTCCTAACCCCCCCCCCCTCCCGCAGTAGCCGGTGGCAGTGTGCCTCGTCAGTCCTTTTCAATCAACGGTTGCAGGTGATGTCTTTGCGTCGGCCCTGCAAGTTTTCTTTTTATTGGTCGTCTCTGATGATACTTACTTATTATGTTTTATCGTGAATTGTATTATTGACTGTGTTTTTTCTCTGCACGCCGCGGATTGAGGGTGGCTATGACGCTTCCCTGTTTATTTATTTATTTTTTTCGACTTTTATTCCTTATTCAATTGTTTTCTTTTTCTCCCTATCATTTGTTCTGATCAGTTTGTACCTGTTCAGTCTTTCTTTAGACTGGGATTATTCTTGTTTATATTTATAATCCCTTTCCCTGTTTTTGATTTTATGTGGAATATTTGGATGTTTTAATGTTATTGCACATTTGGTACCTTCTCGCACATTTCTCAGGACCTTCTGAGGTTGTTTTGTGCCTTATACATAATATAAATATCACAATCGAGCTCCGTTCGGTGTCTGCCATGTGCCCTGGGCCCTACGAGACTTTTATAGTGTTCTGAGCCGCATGGGACTAATTTTATGACATGCCTTATTTATATATTCTTATACAGCGCGTTCGGTGCTTGCTTCATGCCTTGGACCATACGAGACGGCTCTGTGACACGTGCATCATTTATATTTTCTCTACAGCTCCGTTCGGTGCCTGTCACGTAGGAGATCCCTGGCCCGTAAGAGACTGTTTTTAATGACAACGCGAAATATTGTGGATCTGTATCAATACCCAGCGCTAATTTAAAATGGGTGATGAAGAGGAATTAATAATCATGCCGGATGAAGATAGAAGACGATGGTCACACAGGTTTACATCTCATGCATCCTGTACTACGGAGTGTGTCTTTGCCCCGTCAAAGTGTGACACATGCGCGCCACATCTACAGTGTGTCCCTATCAGAATATAAACTGAAGAAGAGATTTAGTAATGCAGAAAAATTGTTTAAGAAGTTGGGGACTCATCTTGTCGTATGAGTCTTTTGAGGCGATTAATATTGAACCTGAAACAGTCACGGACGGCTAGACATCGCTTTCAGATAGTGGTTTCGAATAGGATGAAGACCATCACTGACTGGAAGTCCCTGGGCCTTCGACGTCTTACTTAGATGAGGAGCAAGCTAAGACTTTGCAATCTCCACTAGAACCTCCTTTTACCTCGTTCACAGACAAGCTTCTCACTAATCTTGAGAAATCATTGTGTGTCATGGGCAAGACCTCTTCCAACGCTTCCTCTTTAGGCAGCTTTAGTAATAAGAGGTCTTGATCATCACGCCCTGTTCTTCTAGGGAACGGTCTTCTTGTAGATCACACTCACCTACCCCTTCAACTCCAAGCTTCAGAGATCCTTAAGGAATGGAGAGGCTCTTACAATGCAGTTGCTCCAACGGCATTATTCAGAGACTACATTATGATATTCGTCCTCCGGAGAAAATTACTCAAAACTGAGACCAAGGTGAACACATTATTTCTCCAGAACAATAAGAAAATTGTGCTGAGCTGGAAGAGATCGACTTGACAGTACAAGATGAGGATCAGTTAGATGAAGAACCTACTTCCTTTGCTTTTCAGCCGGAAACTATGCCAGAAGGTTGGTATTTAATCCACGATAACTGGAAATTAGACACTGATCAGTTCGGCAATTAATTTTTCTATTTGAGAACATCCCGAGCTTCAGACAATGAACCTACCTCTTCTTCCACAGTAAGCCACATGGGTGACTCTAGCTTCTTTCGCCACCTTAGTTTCCTCTCCTGAACACGAACCTTCTGTACGAGTCAGGGGTTCTTATATAGACAAATTATTGGATGATCCGGCTCTCTGGGTATGTTTTAGAAGACTATCACTTTTAACAAGAGAGGCAGCAAAATTGTTGATGACTCCAGACCTGTGGAATCCTTCACTAACCTTTGTTCGTATGGTTGAGATCTTGGATTGACTTGCATTATTATGGAGGCCTTCAATAAAGAATGTTGCTGCTTCTCGCATAAAGCTATGCTCATTAGTAATTCAAATTTTTTTCCTTTGTAGTCACAATTGCTATGACATCTTTTTATTCCACTCCTTTCGGACCTATGTCTGAGGTAACTACTCTTGCTGCTTGTGTTCCTCGCTCTGTTCAAATTTATATAATATCTTCACCCTAAGCAATATAATCCCTTCTCGTTTAGAGGCCATAGACCACTGTTTCTCGAACGGGACGTTTTCCTTCTTTTCCTTGGATTGCTGAACCAAGGAGGAACCATCACAAGATACTTCCCGTATGGCTTCTGTTTCGACCTCATCAGGGACGACTCACTCTTCTGGTTGTCGTTCCTTTTGCCGCTCCTCCCATACAAGAGGCATTGTTTCCCGTTCCTCTATCCCATCAAGAAACATTAAATGACTCTCGAGTGCTGGGACGTCTCCTGGGTTGCCAAGAGTTCTGGCCTCAAGGTTGGGCAAGGTCAGTTGTCAGATGGGGCCTGTTCTGGGAGTGGAAGTTCAACCATCCTCCTCCCATACACAAGATTTCATATCCAGTAAAGGTGAATCCTTCAATTATGAGTCAAGTCCCAGTGCATTAGAAGAAACTTCAGAACCAGTCTCCCTAAACAGATTGTTCAAGGTTACCAAAACAGACGCCTCGCAAATGTGATTAGTACTACACTTGTCAAACCTGAACATATTTATTACCACTCAATATTTTCAGATGAAACGTCTGGCTCTAAAAAAGGGGGCACGTTTCTAGCCTCCCTACATCTACAAAATGCGTATTATCATGTGCCAATAAACATCCGACTCAGTAAGTATCTGGCATTTGCATTTGCAGAATTCCAGTACTGGTTCAAGATTCTACCCTTTGGCCTAAATATAGCACCAAGAGTATTTACAAAGCTAATGATGTATGGGGATACATGTTCTCATGTACCTGGACGACTGGCTCTTGAGCACGTCACGGTCGGAGTGCTTACAGGTGATCCAAAATACGATCTCCAAGGGCGAAAATATGGGGATAGCATTCAACAGAAAAAATTCCCTGCCTTTTCCACTCTCGATCGCTTCAGTGGCTGGGCATGAGTTGGCATAGAGTTGGAGTCCTGTCAGGATCGAACAGACTGGGGTGCTGGAGGAAAATATTCCGAGCTCTTTGCTCAAAAACATTTACATGCCAACACTGGGAGAGCCTCTCAAGCTTCAACATTTATGCTGCAGAAGTTATTCCCTTGGGGAGACTATGGCATTGTCGACTAGTCTTGGTGGGAAACCTTGTTGTTTCAAAGGAAACAAGAGACAAAGTAATCCCCTTTCCCATGAGCCTTTGACAAAGACTCAGATAGTAGATTGGAAAAGGGCGATTAAAATTCCAGGCA